GCAAAATGGTCCCTCAACTTTGATCTTGTCCATTTTGGCCCTCATAATTTCACTTTCATATCAATTTGGTCCTTCATAAATGCACTTTAAGCATCTTTCTGGCATGTGCAATTTGGTCCCAAGCTTCACTATTTTGTACACTTTTAGTCCATTTTTCTCCTTTTCGCTCAGTTCTTCGTTGATTCGGGTTTCAAGCCTACAAACGTAAACATTACACCATTATGCATAGAAATTAACTCAATTTCAATTATAATTAAATCCGAAAAGTGCTTAAAAAGTGTGTAAAAACACACTTATCAATTCCCAATGGTGTTGTTATGGCAAAAAAGCATGCCATTAGGGTCGTTTTGAGTATCCTAAAATGGGCCTGTGAAATGCATCCTCTTAAAGCAAAACCTTCAAAGAACTGATGGAATGATAGCGTCCCAATCAAAGGTCTAATTGTGCATGGACTATGTGAAACTCCAAGCGAAAGTCCAATTATAACGGAGTGTGATACTATCCTCAGTTCCAAAACCTGCAAGGAAAAGTGTTGCGCGAAAAGTGTTGCGCACTTTGAGTAGCTACAGTTTGCAAGAGTGTTTACCAGTTANNNNAGTTTGCAAGAGTGTTTACCAGTTACTTCTCTAAAAAGTAAGTTACAGCTTGCTAAAAATTAACTTCAAAAATCAGGTTTGGCAAAATAAGTAACTTAAAAGTAAGTTGGACATATGCTTAAGCACATGCAGACTTATCACTCGAAGAACAAATTATGCAAACATATGAAATGAAGAAGCATACTTCAACATCATCACCTTGTTTGATCCTCATTTATTTCAAAATATATTTTTTCTCTTTTTTCTTTTCAACCACACATTTTTCAATAAAATAATCTTACACGCAACCCAAAAACTTTTTCTTCAATTTTAAACACACATTCTCCGTCAATCTACTATTCCAAAATGCATTTTACACCAAAATGGGGCTCAAATAGGCCGTATAAAGGATAAGTAGAATAAAATGGATATCTGAAAAGACAAATGAAAACAACCACAAACTAATCCAACAAATAAAATGGATTAAACTACAAATTATTAGACGGTGGAGAATCGAATTCATTGAAATTAGATCTGAAGAAGGAAAAATGGGATCTCATAAGAGATTGTGGTGGACACAATGGAAAGGGTGAAAGTGGAAAAGCTGAAGACGAAAAAGATCGGGATCTGAGTCAAATGTGGTGGCATTCGTGAGTCTTTGCAAAAGAGCAAAAATCCAGCCTTGGCCAACACTTGTGATGCGAAATGTAAGGTTGATCTAAGAATCAAGATCTTGAAATGGACATTTTAGTTTAAATAATTCAATAAATTGTAATGATTATCAAGAATTCCAGACACAAGATACATTATTATTATTATTATTATTTGTTTGATAATTTTGAGATTATTACAGTGGTGGATCGGACTGCCCAATGCCAAGAGAGAGTCGGTTTCCACATGGCCATGTCTAATTTGTAAATCACGAGTTCTCATGTAAAATATTTGTATCTTAATTCTAGGATAATTGTAACAATAAGTCCTCAAATTCTAGCGCTGGTAGATCGAATCCCAAGACGGATCCGCCTAAATTGGGATGGGATTTAGACATTTGTACAGATTTTGATGCCCACCTTGTTGACATTAGTGTTGGCTAAAAATGATTGTTGCAAAAATTGTGTGTGTTTTTTTTTTATCAAACGGGTCAATTATAGAATGTCACATGGCGTTCTGTGAAGTAGAGTATGATTTTTCTGTACACCAAACATGATTGGGATGGAAAGACAATTTGTATTCTTTTACCCTTCCAAACCAGAAAGCAAAGTAGCTCTTTTTGAGACATTCGCTCTATCGGTTTGAATGAATATTACTAGGATTAAATTCAGCTTTTTAGTAAATATTGATAAAAATTAATGAAATTTGTGATAAAAAGTTATGATTCCCGTGAAATATAAGATTAAATCATGGGCTAAATGAAAAAACCATATCACATAATTTTGTTTTCTTCCTTTTCTCTTTATATTTTTATGAAATCAAGATGTCATCTTAATGCTATACTAACAAATAATGATATCGAACGTGAATCACTCAAATGGGGATTAGAACACGAGCATCGATGCTTTTCGTGTTTAAATGTTTACCTACACAAACGAAAGACTCCATAATCCGTTGTCATTCAAGTTTATGTGCAATTCAATATTTTGCTCACATACATTCAAGATTCAAAGGCGTGAATCAAATAATTTATCAGTGTTTGTACAAGACGATGATGTTTTAGGAACACACATGTCTTTATATAAACTTGTCTTCACAAAATCCAGCACAATAGAAGCCAATTCGTCTTGATGTGAAGTGTATTCATGATCAGCTCCTTCAACAATTTGTAACTTATGATTTGGTATATATTTGGCAAATTCCGTTGCATCTTCAACTGGTACAAATTCATCCAATGTACCATGAACTGTTAATACCCTGCTGGCATGTTTGGTAAGTTAGACTTGAAAGTATTGGACAATATTCAAGAATAAAAAGAAATTAAAATCTTATTGATTGTACAAAGTATGTACCAAGACCAAGAAAGACAAGAATTTAAATCACAATCATGTTACATGTACATTTTTTTTACATCATTTTTTACATTGTGTCACGTAGCGACACATGATTGGAGAGTTTTTTTTAAAAAAAATACACACTTTTCCGCCCAACACTTTGAACTCCCACACAATGTCAAACAAGATGTAACCCATGGAATGTACGTTTAACATAATTCTTTAAACGAACAATGTCTTTCCAAACCTGCAGCTTGGATGGATGGATTGACATGCAGCATGAGTATCAGTTGCTAGACGGTCAATCAGACTTTCCTTAGTCACACGATATTCAATCTTCCCTACAAAAAGATTAGACGCAGCATGTGAATCCTTCCTAGTGATTTGTAAACTGAATAGTATACCAAACACGATTGCAACTTTACTTTTCAGTAGCATCCAATCCTCTTTGTCAAACATGTCACTAATCTATGTATAAGAAAAAACAAGGTCAGGTAATTAAGGAAACTGAAATTTCTAAAGCATTATTGCAATCCTGATGTATTTGGCACTAGAATTGACAAAATTGGGCAAAATACAATGAAGGCGTGTCAGTGAAAAAATAATAATACATACCTCTTCTATTTTTTACATCAATGAATCCATTTTGCTCAATTTTCTCTCGGAAGTCTTTACCCAAGCGACCTTCAATTCCTCTCCTTAGATTATAACGTCCAGCAATATTTACAACTGTTTTTATGTCATTACACTTTGAAGCATAAAGAAGCACAGCATTCCCTCCTGGAAGAATTCCATCCATTCGTACAGAACTTTTAGGAAAGGAAGCATAGAAAGAAAGTCCATTCTCATAAACATAAGTAGTCGACATTTGTAAGCTGTAAGCATCAGAACTGTTTAACAACAAACAATAGACAGTTTGTAGAGTAATTGTAAGACTTTCTTGAACATGATTTTTCTTCAAACTCATAAGAGAAAAATGTAACAAAAAAGTTGTGACCTGAGAGTAAACACCAGGAAAGTAATTGTGGACTACAGAACAGAGGTGTTTACAAAGGTTACAATTTGTGTAATTTCCTAACTTGAATAAAATAGCATTCTCATTGGATTTATGTAATATCGTGTGAAGTATCAAATTAGATAATTTTCAATGTAATATAATTTAAGGGTAAATAAAATTCTCTTATAGAACAAAGGAATGATCTTTGGAATCCGCAAATTTTTTTGTAGACACATTCGAAAATCTCATGCGAGGATATCCTGTGCTCACAGCACCCCCCGAAAGTCCAGCCCCATGGAAATTGAAAAAGGAGAAAAAAAAAAATACATAAACTTAGAACCAGAGGAAATAAACAACAAAAAGGTCAGTTTGTAGAGATGTATCTATCACACCTTTGCTGTGCCCAATAATTGCCACTACACATCGTTTCTCTCCACGAAAGTGTTTGACCACAACTCTTAGATCATCAGCTTCTCTACGGTAGTTACCATACTGAAATGTTCCCTCACTTTCCCTGATAAGAAAATATTTATTATTAGTAATTCCACAAGTCTCAGGTTAATGGAGGATCTAAAGCATGTTTGTGAAGCAATTTCAAGGAGTCTCTTTATTAACAAGACACTGGGTAAACCTGCGACCTACTGTAATCATTCTGAGACAAATCACGTCCCCGAAAAGATGAAAAAATAGTGCCTATCGCAGTTATTGTTTAGTTTTAGTTAGATTGATGCTATTGAACTCAAAGACCACCTCTTAGAGAGAGTCCCATGGGACTTTCAAATCAACAGGTCCTCACCTTCTGCTTTCTTCTTTAGGCACCCATTCTCATTCTCAATTTGTTTTCCCTTCCTTCATTTCAACCACTCATTCTCCAAATAAAATAATATTATACAAAAATCTAAAATTTTTCATTACTTTTCAACTATACATTCTTCCATCAATCTATATTCTAGAATTCATTTTTTCTCCCAAAATGGGTGTCAAACACAAGCTTACTTTCGTTTCGGCATGCTACAACCGATGCTGCAAGTGTATGAAGCCTTTCTAGAAACCACAAGTCTACACTTTATTTTGGAGACGAAGTACAATAAATCTAAAGAGTGTAGATAGAAACTGTCAGATCCTAAGCAATCAGGAACTCTGTCAAAAAGTTGGTTAAAAAAAACAAATGTAGAGGTAACAAGAACAAAAACATGATAACTTAAAAGCAATCATTACCTCTACTTCATTTACAGCAATATACATTTAGTTTCTAATTTCAATTCCAAGATTGGAAGATATGTTTAGTTCAATATTAGCACAGAGAGGGATAATTCCATGACCACTGATATGACATTTCAATGGGGTAAACAAATTAGGAAAAGAAAAAAAGAATAAATGATAGACTACGGATATGATTTGTTGTTAAACTGCTCATGTTATGCTTCACTAGTGTTAACACATACCCATTGCCAGCAAAGTCAAAGCGGAAGGCACTAATTCCTTCTTTTTCAAAAGCAGCAGCAAGGTTCACCATAGGAATGCGATCCTGGGACATAGTACAGAACTCAAAATGAGAATTATATCTCTTATAATGCAAATAAATATTGAAGTACAAGCACAAATTAATTTTCTAGATCACAATTGCCAACCTTCGAGGAACGGAATCCATGGCATATAATTACAAGCTCGGGAGAGCCTGTTTCATGAAATATTCCAACAAGCTTCTCACCATGGCTGTTCTGTATTACCAGCCTCTTGTGTTCAGCCACTGCCCAATGAAGTACAAAATTTACAGAAAACAAAACAAAACAAGAGAGAGAGAGAGAGAGAAATCAAACACGGAATGATATTTACTAAATTGACAACTTGTACACAAACAAAAAAAAAAAAAAAGAGGTTAGAAACAAATATATGTTTTTCAATAAAAAGGTATTCATCTTCTTCACCTATTTTTCCATCCACTAATAGCTGCAAGCAAGAACACAATTGCATAGTAATATGATCGCAATTTATATCCAAAAATACATAAGAAGATCTACCATTTTCAGCTTTCAGTAAAACAAATTACTCAAAATAATCGATAGAAAATTATAAAAAAATAAAAAAAGGAAACGCAAAACATACAAAAAAAAAAAGTTCAAATCTTTGGCTTTTTGAATGGAAAACCCATGTTCCATAATTCATAAAGAAATCAATATGATCATCCTAGGATTCGAAAACAATGACGGGCTTTATTTCTTCTAGTTTTTTTTTTTTTTTCCAAATCTTGAAATAGAGGCAGGAATATTCAAGCGTTTTGAAATTCTGAAAAAAATAACTCTAATATGCGTTGCTAAGCACTCACCCGAGCTCGAATTTGAATCAGTCTGAACCATTTGATATGTGGGATTCTTCAACGCATACGAATTACAATGGAAGTGCTTGCTAGACTGTAATCCTGTTTCCCTGAACTAAAATCGCGTTGAATCAATGAAGAATTTAATTATTTAGGTATATCAAGGAAATAAAAATAGGGGAAAAATTCATTTCTCCGTTCTACTTTACATTATTTCAAAAATAATACAATAATTTTCGCATTTTAAAAATCAGATATTTTGACTTATACACACACACATATATATAATTAATCCATCCTCATCACTCCTACCGCTCCGACGATCGTTCCGGTGATCGTTCATGTGATTACTCCGATTCCGGTGACTATTCCAGTAATCGTTCCGGCGACTGTTCCGATTCTGACAATTGTTCCAACTCCGGCGAATATTCCGGCGACAACTCCACCACATTTTTTTGTACAGTTGACATGATTTTTATTTTTTGTACGGTCACAGTCCATGTCACAAGTCACAAGTAGCAGGTCACAAGTCATAAGTCACAACACATGTCACAAGTCATAAGTCACAAGTCACAGCTCAGGTCACGAGTCACGAGTCACAACGCATGGTTGTTTGTTTATAATGATTGATAATACGATAAGGCTCATGTTTTACATTTTTGTTAATGGTCACGTGTTTATTTCAAATGGCCACAACAGGGGTCACAAAATATTTTGCACGTGGTTCATTTTTTTTTTTTTTATATTCACGAGTTAATTTCAAATGGCCATAGCGCAGGTCACAGAGTTTTTTTGCACATGGCTCAATCAACCAAATAATTGGTCGCAGCTCACAAGATATCTTGAAAAAATTGTAGGTCACATTATTGGTCATAATTTGAGACAGACTCCAAGCTCCATCTCATCCCACCCACAACCATCGCTACGACCGCCACCACCACGACCATCATCACATCCAACATAACATGGCTCACCAGTCACTGCAATTTTGCAAGTCACAATAACTGTACAACACCACCTCATCGCCACCACCGTCCAACATACCCTAACCCTACTCCGCAGCCACTACCACATCCGGCAACTTACAACAACCATTATAGCCAACGTTGTCAACAAAGTCAGCAACTCACCACAAATCAACACCACTTCACAACCACCGTGACAGTAGCAACCATCGTAGCTTACACGAGTCCGGACTACTCCCCCGAGTTGAATAGGCACCGCCAACAAAAAAACCCCCCCAAAAACTACAAAATTCGATTGCCCTCCGCCAACACCAAATCCAATGCCGCCACCTCCAGTGCCACCATCACCATAGATACCTCAGCACAACTACATGCAGTAGACCACCACAACCCAACAGTGTCGGTTCTGTGATTTTCGAAGCCTGGGGCGAACTTTATAAATTAGGCCCCTCAAAAAAAAATTCCCTTTTATCCCTATGTAGCCACGTCCATGGCCAACATGATATTTAACTAAAGTCTGTAAGCAGGGACATAGCTAGGATTTCAATCTTGAGGGACGAAAACATGGGGGGTGGACCCCCTCCCGGGGGTTCGCCCCCGAAATTTTTTTTTAACTAAGAGGATTTAAACCGAAAGAAATACGAAGCTATAGAAAATCAATAAAAAAATTTAATAAAATATTTAAGAACATATTTCAAAATCGTAGATTGTAGAAGGTAAATAATAAC